CCTCAGGTCACACCACCGAACCCTCAGGTCACACCACCATGAACCCCGTCACACCACCATGAACCCGGGTCACCACTATGAACCTCAGGTCACACACCATGAACCTCAGGTCATACCACCATGAACCCTCAGGTCACACCACATGACCCCGCCGCCACCACCATGAACCCTCAGGTCACACCACCATGAACCTCAACACACGACCCGGGTCACACCAATGAACCTCGGGTCACACCACCATGAACCCTCAGGTCACACCACCATGAACCTCAGGTCACACCACCATGAACCCCTCAGGTCACACCACCATGAACCCTCAGGTCACACCATGAACCTCGGGTCACCCACCAGAACCTCGGTCAAACATGAACCCCGTCACCCACCATGAACCTCGTCACCACCATGAACCTCAGGTCACACCATGAATGTCACACCACCATGAACCTCAGGTCACACCACCATGAACCCCAGGTCACACCACTGCGAACCCTCGTCACACCACCATGAACCCTCACGGGTCACACCACCATGAACCCTCAGGTCACCACCATGAACCTCTCAGGTCACACCACCATGAACCCTCAGGTCACACCACCATGAACCCTCAGGTCACACCACCATGAACCCGTCACACCACATGAACCCTCAGGTCACACCACCATGAACCTCAGGTCACACTAATGAACCTCAGTCACCACCATGAACCTCGGGTCACACCACCATGAACCCTCAGGTCACACCACCATGAACCCTCAGGTCCACCACCATGAACCCTCAGGTCACACCACCATGAACCCTCGGGTCACACCACCATGAACCCTCAGGACACACCATGAACCCTCGGGTCACACCACATGAACCCCGGGTCAGCTCACACACCATGAACCCGGTCACACCACCATGAACCCCTGGGTCACACCACCAACCTCAGGTCACACCACCATGAACCCTCAGGTCACACCACCATGAACCTCAGGTCACACCACCATGAACCTCAGGTCACACCACCATGAACCCTCAGGTCACACCACCATGAACCCTGGGTCACACCACCATGAACCCTCAGGTCACACCACCATGAACCCTCAGGTCACACCACCATGAACCCTCAGGTCACACCACAGAACCCCGGGTCACACCACCATGAACCCCAGGTCACACCATGAACCCTGGTCACACCACCATGAACCCGTCACACCACCATGAACCCTCAGGTCACACCACCATGAACCCTGGGTCAACCACATGAACCGGTCACACCATGAACCCCGGGTCACACCACCATGAACCTCAGGTCACACCACCATGAACCCTCAGGTCACACACCATGAACCCTCAGGTCACACCACCATGGACCCTCGGGTCACCACCATGAACCCTCAGGTCACACCACCATGAACCCTCGGGTCACACCACCATGAACCCTCAGGTCACACCACCATGAACCCTCAGGTCACCACCCATGAACCCTCAGGTCACACCACCATGAACCCTCAGGTCACACCACCATGAACCCTCAGGTCACACCACCATGAACCCTCAGGGTCACACCACCATGAACCCTCAGGTCACACCACCATGAACCCTCAGGTCACACCACCATGAACCCTCAGGTCACACCACCATGAACCCTCAGGTCACACCACCATGAACCCTCGGGTCACACCACCATGAACCCTCAGGTCACACCACCACAGACCCTCAGGTCACACCATGAACCCTCAGGTCACACCACCATGAACCCTCAGGTCCACCACCATGAACCCTCAGGTCACACCACCATGAACCCTCAGGTCACACCACCATGAACCCTCAGGTCACACCACCATGAACCCTCAGTCCACACCACCATGACCCTCAGGTCACACCACCATGAACCCTCGGTCACACCACCATGACCCTCAGGTCACACCAATGAACCCTCAGGTCACACCACCATGAACCCTCAGGTCACACCACCATGAACCCTCGGGTCACACCACCATGAACCCTCGGGTCACACCACCATGAACCCTCGGGTCACACCACATCCGTACACTTGATCTACGTTGTGCTGCGTCATCCCTGAGTGAGAGGTTAGTTGTGTACGGTACTGTATATATATATATATATATATATATATATATATATATATATATATATATATATATATATATATATATATATATATATATATATATATATATATATAATGGCTCAGTGTCTGTCATGTCTAAAGATAAATTAATTACCCTTTTTAATTACCACTTTAGTTAAATAGGAATCCTTTGAGGGGTAATATACTGAAATTAGGCAAACCTCAGTATCACACCCACCCAGCCACAAGGATGAGTCTGCCAGCCAGCTCCCTCCCTCATCTCTCTGCCAACACATACAGTATTTATATAATTTATATTTAATAATGTCTTCTTGTACAAACATTTTATTTTTTGTTTACTCTCATTCAAATTCTTCTTTTAATCTTGTTTGTTTACATGTACAGTATAATTCTTGGGGGGCTAAGTTAAGTTGTATTGTATTATTTTTCATTTACAATATATCCAAAGTAGAATTACCATACAGTGGTCATAAACATATGTAAATTATGCTCCCCGTACTGCATACTGTACAGCAAACGACCTACGCTGATGTACGATAATGATTATTACGATAATAAAAGATGTAATTACTGTACAGTATATATAAATAATTATTAGAACAAAGGAAAAAAAAAAGGTTTACATAGTATGATTCGGTCAGATAAAAGTAAAAGTATAAGCCTGAAGGGTAGTGTAGAGGCAGTCACAACAATTATCTCTGAGTATTTCTAAGCTGAAATTACTTACTTGCAGGACCAATTATGTTATTTGTAGCCATTTATTGTAATTTTCTAAGGTGCTAGTTGCCCAAACCAGCTCTAGGTTGTTCACACACACACACACACCTTAATATGGATTTATGAACGCACTTCAACGTGTTTACTTTGGCGTACTAATGCGAGGAAGTCTTCAGCTGGCTGGCTTTCTTATTCTCCTCCCGTCTGTACAATTATTCTCAGGTGTTTTTTTTTACGAGGGAAAACTAAATTAATTCATTTTCTTAATATCTGTCACTTGTCTTGGGTCTGACCACAAAATATATTACCTGATGTATATGATAAAATAAAAACCTTATTTATACCGTCCATGAAAGGTATATTTGTGAATGGTAGAAACTGTTACTGTATGTGGAGAGAGAAGGATTTACTGTACCCCTAACCTACTCTGTGACGATGACTTGCCTGAGAAACAAACAACCAATTTATTCCAGTGCCAATGAGAACAGTGGTTAGTTCCCTCAGCCTTCCCAGGACCCAGGTGTTAAAGAACCTTAAGTCCTTCCTCCCAGTGTAGATTAAATTACCTTACTTTTGAGGAGTACAATTAGGATGTTGTATCACAGAAGATTATCCATACATATTCATCCACCAATTAAATTTTATCCAATCTGGTTAACAGACTGTGAAGACAAGGGCACAAACAAACACACACACTGGCCCCCCCCCCACTGAGGGTATTACAGTATAAGTGGGCCCTAACCACTCCCTAAGAGCCCCTCACACACTAACTGAAACACAACCCTCTTCACACATTGCTACAACTCACACCATAACAACCTGCTGAAGACAATGCCCCCAATAGCTAGCCAACAAAATGACCAAATATGGGACACACACACACACAACAGTAGCCTCGAGAAGTATCGAAGAAATATGCATAAACAGCGCATGCAAGACGAGATAAATGATGTTAATTCCAGCCTTAACTTCAACACAACACCCAGAACTGTATGGCCAAACCTCCTAACACCTTCACTACGGGGACGCCAATTTGAATATTTTACTTGGTTAACGTCAGACGATTTTATTCGGCGGAGAGAGGACCCCATACACAAGGAGTTAAATCCCAGGTACAGTTATGAAAAAAGTGGCTCACAGCACCTAGCTCAGACAACAGGACATGATAGCCACTACAAGGAACTGGCTGGGAGTGAGAAGTAAGCCTGGATCCAAAGCAAGGAACTGGCTGGGTGTGACGATTAAGCCCTAGATCCAAAGTGACCTGACTCGTAACAGCCATAAGGGTGAAGCAGAACAAGCAGGCCAGTGTGTCATTAATTTCCAAATAAAGGCGAGAGTTGTGACATTGAGGTAAGTTAATAATAATCTCTGGACTGTCCCCAAGGTTAATTATAATCATAGGATAAGACACACACACTCAGCAATGGTCATCTGTCAATGATATTTAGACCAACCACCCATCAGGTTATATACGCTCATCTCCTGCCTATGTATTCTAAAAAAAAACCTAATGACAGACAAACATTGATCACTATATCCAGGGACCAGGGGAAGAGAGGGGGATTAATACAACACAGACATAAAAGTGTTACAACTCGATGACAAAGAAGAGTTAAAGTAGCGGTAATAAATAATAAAAAAAAAGTTAGTAAAACGGTGAAAACAAAATGTAAATAGTGTGTAAGTATGCAGGTGTCTATATAAAGTATAATTTGCCATAGCAGTTAATATAAGTGACAGAAGATAAAAAAAACGTATAAGCGATAGAAGATCAACTATACTGTATAAGTGACATAACAAAAGTAAACACTAATAAGCAAACATAAAGTGACCGAAGATAAAAAATATAAGCGACAGATCAACTATACTGTATAAGTGACATAAAACAAAACACTAATAAGCAAACATAAAGTGACCGAAGATAAAAAATATAAGCGACAGAAGATCAACTATACTGTATAAGTGACATAAAACAAAACACTAATAAGCAAACATAAAGTGACCGAAGATAAAAAATATAAGCGACAGAAGATCAACTATACTGTATAAGTGACATAACAAAAGTAAACACTAATAAGCAAACATAAAGTGACCGAAGATAAAAAATATAAGCGACAGAAGATCAACTATACTGTATAAGTGACATAACAAAACAAAACACTAATAAGCAAACATAACCAACCTTCAACTGCCTCCTCACAACCTTCATAGGACCTAACCTCAAGTAGGCAGAATCTGTCTGCAATTAAAAACGAAAAAGCAAAATTTAGACAATTATGAACAGGTTAAATTACTGCTGGGAGAGGAGGGAGGAAGGAACACCTGACCAGAAAATAATAAAATGGTAAAAGTTAAATAAATATATTACCACACCTGTAAAGTTAATATATAATGAATATAACAAAATAGAACTTGGTTAAAAAAAACCCTACAGATCTGTTAATTGTGTTAAAATGGATCACCTGAAGAATCTCCACCTCAGCTTATTTCACCTGAAGATTAACCACCCTTAACACTATTTGGGCGATTAGATTAGCATTAAGTTAACATTAGGCTGGTTAATCTTCAAGTGAAATAAGCTAGAATGATAAATTTTTCAGGCTGATCCACGAAAAATAAAATAAATCAACCAGCTTTTTTAACAATTCCAACTATAAACACTACAATACACTACCCATCTCTCTCATAATAAATAAAAAATATAAAAAATTCAAAAACTCCCAAAAATCCTAGTATGCAATATAAGGCAATAACCACAGAGAAACAAGAGATACACCAATGACCTTCACAGCGCCGCTTCAGGAGAAAAAAAATCATCGCTGACCATTAACATCAATTCACCCCACCATCCAACCACCTTCCACCTTTGAATAACCTAACCTAACCCCTACAGCTGTTAATATTATGTTTAAAAGGACCCCAAAAATATTTTAAGGAAGGTTATAGGCAGTAGTGCATTGTGACCATATCACGGCCGCCACTCGTTATCTGACTCACCTTATCTTGGTCATGTTAACAGTTGCACCACTGATAACTTCTCAAGGGGAGCCTCTCTCTCTTATGTACTGTGTTTGTGTGTGACTGACCTGCTGTGGGTGTGGATGACTGAACTGTATGGATGACTGACCTGTGTGGATGACTGACCTACATGGAAAACTGACCTGTGTGGATGACTGACCTACGTGGAAAACTGACCTGTGTGGATGACTGACCTGTGTGGATGACTGACCTGTGTGGATGACTGACCTGCGTGGATGACTAACCTGCATGGATGACTAACCTGCGTGGATGACTAACCTGCGTGGATGACTAACCTGCATGAATGACTAACCTGCATGAATGACTGACCTGCGTGGATGACTGACCTGCATGAATGACTGACCTGCATGGATGACTGACCTGTGGTGGGTGAGGATGGTCCCAGGCGTAGGGAGGACAGCCAGGTCTGGTGTAGCCATGTTGGTTCACGCCTGATGGACCTGTTGAGAGACACAACTGTTAACACAACACCATGACACTGGATGACTTTGTGTGCTGGATGACTGTGTGAGCTGGATGACTGTGTGTTGGATGACTTGGTGTGCTGGATGACTTTGTGTGCTGGATGACTGTGTGAGCTGGATGACTGTGTGTTGGATGACTTGGTGTGCTGGATGAATGTGTGTGCTCGATAACTTTGTGTGCTGGATGACTGTATGAACTGGATGACTGTGTGTTGGATGACTTGGTGTGCTGGATGAATGTGTGTGCTGGATAACTTTGTGTGCTGGATGAATGTGTGCTGGATGACTGTGTGTGCTGGATGACTGGCCAGCCCAGACTGGATGACTGTGTGGTGCTGGATGACTGTGTGCTGGTTGGCTGTGTGCTGGATGAATGTTATGCTGGATGACTGTGCTTTCTTGGATGACTGTGTGCTGGATGGATGTGTGTGCTGGATGACTTTGTGTGCTGGATGACTTTGTGTGCTGGATGAATGTGTGTGTGCTGGATGACTGTGAACTGGATGACTGTGTATTGTGCTGGATGACTTTTGTGTGCTGGATGACTTTGTATGCTGGATGACTGTGTGCTGGATGAATGTGTGCTGGATGACTGTGTGTGAACTGGATGACGTGTGGTGTGCTGTGGATGACTATGTGCTGGATGGCTGTGTGTGCTGGATGACTGTGTGTGTGCTGGATGGAATGTGTGCTGGATGACGCTGTGTGCCGGATAACTGTGTGCTGGATGAGATGTGTGCTGTGGATGATTGTGTGAACTGGATGACTTTGTGTGAGCTGGATGGCTAATGTGTTGCTGGATGACTGTGTGCTGGATGACTGTATGGGCTGGATGACTGTGTGTGCTGGATGGGCTGTGTGTGCTGGATGACTGTATGGGCTGGATGACTGTGTGTGCTGGATGACTGTGTGTGTGGATGACTGTGTGTGTGTGCTGGATGACTGTGTGTGCTGGATGTTCTTATGGGCTGGATGACTGTGTGTGCTGGATGACTGTGAACGCTGGATGACTGTGTGTGCTGGATGACTTTAGTGCTGGATGACATGTGCTCTGGATGAATGTGTGCTGGATGGCTGTGTGGGTGGATGACTTTGTGTGCTGGATGACTGTGTGCTGGATGGTGTGTGTGTGCTGGATGACTTTGTATGCTGGATGACTATGTGCTGGATGACTGTGCGGATGACTGTGTGTGCTGGATGACTGTGTGCTGGATGATTGTGTGCTGGATGACTGTTGTGCTGGATGAATGTGTGTGCTGGATGACTGTGTGCTGGATGACTGTGTGCTGGATGACTGTGTATGCTGGATGACTTTGTATGCTGTGATGACTGTGTGCTGGATGACTGTGTGCTGGATGACTGTGTATGCTGGATGACTTTGAATGCTGTGATGACTGTGTGGATGGTGGATCACTTTGTGTTCTGAATGACTGTGTGTGCTGGATGACTTTGTGCAGGATGAATGTATGTGCTGGATGACTGTGTGTGTGCTGGATGACTGTGTGTGTGCTGGATGACTTTGTATGCTGTGATGACTGTGTGGATGGTGGATGACTGTGTAAATGGTTAAATGAATGTGTGCTGGATGACTGTGTGGGTGGTGAATGAATGTGTGGATGGTGGATGACTGTGGTGGATTACTGCATGGATGGTTAAATGAATGTGTGGTGGATGACGTGTGTGGGTGGTTAAATGAATGTATGGTGGATGACGTGTGTGGGTGGTTAAATGAATGTGTGGTGGATGACTGTGGATGGTGGGTGACTGTGTGCATGGTTAAATGAATGTGTGGGTGATTTGATTTGATTTTGGCTTGCAGTGGTTACTTGTTGTGCACCTCCTACACTCATCCTGTGAGCGGTAGCGCAAAAGGATTACAGAGTAGGGTTTACAAAGGGTCATAATAATTAACCCCTGCTGTCAGGATATTATGGCACCGAAAGTTACATGTAGTTTTGTATTTACATTATTTGTTTAGTTTCTATACATAAGCGGTAACTTATTCACAAATGTGTGAGAACAGGTGTGAGGCAGTATGTCTGGCCTCACACTTTGTTATTTACATTTACGGGAGGTATTCGCCATTGCGTATTTGGTTCTGTACATGAGAACTGGATATAGTTACTGAGTGCAAAAAAGTGGATAATCTAATATGTCGGCTGTCTTTGCCATTATTGAGATGAAGTGTTGTGCTATTTCACGCACAGTGTGTGCTTGACCTGTCCTGTGTTGTTCTATCTTTCACAGTCGAGGACGGGGAAATATGTGTGGGCTATGTATGGCCGCACACTTTAGATTTAGTTTTGTTTACATCTGGTTGAGGAACATATTGCCAAAGGTACTTATATCTTAACCTTAATCTAGCGGGGTTACAACATCTTGTAACTAGTGAGTCTTGTTACTTGCCCATATACATGTTTCACTTGATACATCTCATCATGGTAAACTATGGATCGACTAGTGCCTGTTTGCACTTGTTCACTTGGTTAAACCCACCAATAAGTTCTTTCCTAATTAAAGTTTTAAGGGTTCTTTTTGACAGACCCAAATTGTATTCTAACGGTGCCTTTGTTAGACGCGAGTTTGGCGAGGGCATCAACTCTGTCATGTTTTATGAGTCGGTGAGAGGATCCACAACAGTTTGACCCTGACACCCCTGGTCGTTACAAGGCACGCATATTTGTGTCTTGGCTTCAGAGACAAGTGGATGACGTGTGTGGGTGGTTAAATGTGGTGATGATTGTGCATGGTTAAATGAATGTGTGTGGACACTGTATATGGTTAAATGAATGTGTATGACTGTACGGATGGTTAAATGAATGTAAGGGTGATGACTGTGTGGATAATGGATGACTGTACAGATAATTGATAACTGTATAGTAGATGGATGACCATAGACGGTGGATGACTGATAAACTGATGTCATATCAATATCAACACACACACACACACAGTACTTGACTTAATGTCTGTACACGAGGTCATAAGGCTATATAAGGTCACATATGTACAATTTGAAATATAAGGTCATACTGTCAGTTATATATAAGGTCACATTATGTTACACTAAGGTCACATTAGTCACACATAAGTCAACCCATTTCTCAACATTTTTAGAGCCAATCTATTTCAAGGTCTTTAAAATATATGATTAGATTTTCAAACTTTAATCTGGCAACCATTGTCCAATCAAGATCCAGAAGATTTTGTTTACAGGGGGTCAAAGGTCATTTTGGTCACACAAACAAGGTCAGCATAAGGTTACACACAAATATATATACAAACGCATATATATATAAATATATATATTAAATGTACATAAGGCAAGATATTAAATGCAAATATACAAACGCAAATATACATACATACAGTTACTTATCTAACTGGGTGTCTAAGGCAAAACGAGAATAATATCCTCCACCAATCAATTCCACCATCAATAGGACGACCAATCATCGCCACCACTTAAACTAGCTATTAATTGATTATATGGTCTTGATTCATTACAATCAGTCACAAAGCGTTGTATTTGCTTTTGTTCCAATCAGTCGTAGATTGTGGGAAGCGGGGATCCATGAGTAGTTGCGGTTAATAAGAACATGGTAGACGAAGTAACTGGCCAATAAGTAGAATTAGATGACCAATAATATGGACAAGAGTGATGTAGCAGTAGTAGGTGAAAGGTGTAGGAGTGATGTTGTTAGGTTATAATGTCAGTCTCTACAACATACTGAGGAGTCAAGATCCAGTACATCGCAAATTCTATTATCCAATTATAGTCTACTAATCACTTATTATTAATAACAAAAAACACTTAATAATAATATAAGTTATTTTTTTTTTTACGATGAGATTTATTTTAGTGACATTGTTCGATCTCGACAAATGGGTAAGAGCGTAAAGGAAATGACATATCCAACTTAATAATATAATAATTAATTAACGTTTATTGAAAGAGCTTTGGAAAACTATGGCTCAAAATACACAGTTACATATTTGGGGAATATGAATTACAAATAATATACAAGTAATGTAAGTGATACATAAATATATAATAACTGATGTGTGAAAAGCTCAACTATGTTTATTTGAAGATAGTAGGATGTGCAAGGAAGTAGTATTTACTGGGGAGTGAATACACTGTTTGTTCAAGTGTTGTTGATTTCTGGTTGGTACTGGGTTGTTCTTATATGATCAGTTAGTGCACGTATGGGCTGGATGGTGGGTTGTGGTGTCGAATTGCAATTTTGGGTAGGGATGTGTGGTAAGGAGCTGATGTTTATATATGTGGAAGCTTTACCAAATTTGTGATGAGGTGTGGGATGGTCAGTGAGGGAGTGGAAGTAAGGAGCGCTTTATATGTGGAGAGGTGTGAATAATTAATGCTTATCTTTTGCAATTTTTTGTGGTGTTTATGCTAGTAGCAGGGAGGTAGACCAGGGGGAGACATAGTGAGCTTGGGAAGTATGAATGTTGTGTAAACACTGAGGAGCTTGCGGTGCAGGAACCTGAGGAATTTGAGTTTTGGGGAGGAGGTGACGGAAACTGGAGGATTTGATAACTTCACTGACGTGTGGTTTCCAATTTAGTTGTTGTCTGGTAGACGCCGAGTAGCCGTAATCTCAACCCGGAGTGTGTTCTGGACCTAAAGTAATGGAAGGTGGACAATGTTTGTAGGAGAGGTTGTGCGTAACCATGGTCTGCATGTTTATGTTGACATGGTTGGGTGTCCAGTTTTGGAGACTGTTCAAATTCTGAAGGCGGTATAGTGAGCAGAATTGTTGACGCTGGATCCCAATGGTGTGAGTTGTTGACTTGTTGGCATGAGTGAGTGTGGTTGGTGTGTGTGTGTGTGTGTGTGTGTGTGTGTGTAGAACGATCAACACAAGTACGATTGTCATGGTGAGCTTCATTATTTTATTATTTTTTTTATTCATAATTGCTTCTGTTACTGCTTTCGTACCAGCTGGTAGATCATTTAGCTGGTTGTTGCTGTTGTTGTTGTAGTTATGGTTTCAGA